TTTTACTTCCCCATATTCTTACTTCTTTATTTATTTTTGTTTATTAATTTGTTTCCTTCTTCTGTTTTTTTCGAATACTTTCTAATATAATTTAAGCATTTATCAGTTTTTGATCATTTTTTTTTCTTTTAATAAAATTTTATTTTCGCAATAAGATCAAAAAAAAAAAAAAAAGAAAAAATTAAAAAGTATACTTGAGCATGCGTTCGAAAATTTACATGTTCGTGCCATTGATTGGTACTTTGCAAATGTTCCAAATTAATTATTACTAATAAATTTGGATCACGTTCAAAGATTATTTCAAAGACACGTTTTCCGAGATCAAATACTAAACCACGTGGTAATTGTCGCCACATTGTCGTCAAGATTGCTTTCTGATGTGCACTTAAACCCGTAATTTCACAAACATTTGATCGTCGTCCAGCACCACTCATATATCTGGAACAAAAATTTAATAATTCATTCATTTTATTTACTATCAATTATTTTATTATCTTTTTTTTCTTTTTTTTTATAATTTTAATTCAGACTTTAATTTATTCGTTGATTATATTATTAGTAAAATGCATTACTGATAATTATTTCCTGGAAATGTTTAAATAAATTAAGAAAAAAGATATCGTATAAAAAATTTAAATTAGTCCAATTAAATAGCATTAATTAAAACGGGAAATTACTGATTTTTTCAGGTTTATGTTTAATATCAAACAGCATAAGACTTATTGAAAGGTCTAAATAGAATTTTTGAATAGAATTTTAAAAAAATAGAATTTTCTAAAAAAAAGTTAGATAAAATAGAATTTTTCACTAATTGTGCATGTTTAATTAAATTTAGGTAAAATAATCATAATCGACGAATGCAACGTAATTACATTAATTGAGATATTTTAATTATATTAAGTAATTATATTAATTGAGATATTTCAATTATATTAAGTAATTATATTAATTGAGATATTTTAATTATATTAAGTAATTATATTAATCGAGATATTTTAATTATATTAAGTAATTATATTAATAGAGA